AACTAACAATGTGTGGACGACAAGACCGAGGGAGTCGAGTGAAACTGAGAAGGAGCCATTACAATCAAACACTACATCAGCCCAGGAGCAACAAGGAAGGTCCCAGGATGAACAGACAACGAAATCAGAGAATCAACAAAATCCACAGATAAGTAGTCACGTGTGAGTATAGGTAGGATAGTTGTGGTTGTATGAGACAAGTGCAAATAGTGTGTGGAGAGGGGTAATGAGTGTAAACGATAAATTATGAGTTTTTAGCGGAAAGGACGAAGGTAGAGAGAATATACAGTAGTCGAAATGGAGGGTACACATGGTGAGAGCCGATTCGTCTAATACTACGATACAAGCAGTAGCGATACACTACATTATTTTACAAACTTTACAAAGGAATTAGACATTAAGTTTGAAGAATTAGTAGTTAGTTGCTATACAGAGTAAACCAGAAGACATAGTACACACGTCAAAGGTCAAAACAACGTACACAGATAGTCGGTACTGAAGGTTATATGACTTAGACAATGTACATACACGCGCACAACAAACAATACACAAGGAACTAGGAGTTAGGACCCTGACAGAGTTATTTATTGGGCTTATAACTTATGGATGAATAGACAGCAACGTTTATTAACATAATCTACTTAAGTCTAACCATAATCAGGTAGCACCGAAGTTGAGAAGCGACAACTAGCTACGAACTGTCAACTACAACTAGAGGGCGAATAAGGCGATTTAGTTCGGGTCGTCGACGGAAGAAGTTGTCGCAGCAAGAGTACAGAAGCGGTGGTACGTATCTGTATGCTTAGCTTATGTTAGGCATATATAAGGTGGAAACGTACATACTACGAACAATGTCGGTGGCACAAGGTTAAAATTGTGAAATTGACAAACATACATACACAAACCACTGCTTCTAACTACATTAGGTACTGGAAACGGCTCAGGAGCACGCACAAAAGATGTAGTTTGCGATAACAGAGAAGGAGTGAAATATCTAACACATAGTTCTTAGGATGAGGAATATAATATCACAACCGCAACGGCACATGACAAGAAGAGCAATCAGGAGCGATAGATGGAGTATACGATGAGGTTCCGAGGCTAGGCAGTGCTCCGACCAGCGGGGCACACATCAACAAGATAATTGTTTGAAGGAGAGTAAGACATCAATTAGTGTTAGATGAGTTTCGATTCTCTATACTTCTAGGGTCGGTGAGTGTAATAAAGTAATCACGAGTGAGCCCACGAGTTCCTCGAAAGTCGAGACGTCATGTGTTTGAAGGATGGATTCTGTTTAAGAAATGGGTATTTATATTCAATTCTCTACTAGTTCGGACGATGGAGGTGGTACCCGTTAGGTATGGAACCAAGATTATCGACGGGTCACTGGAATTGATGAATTTGCCGGCAGGTATAGGCATCATAGTGGGGCAAGATATGTTGAAAGGATCGGGTCTATACATAGGCGGATTCCAATCGCCACTTGCACCAATAGACCCCACGGAGCTAGATGAGCATCTCGAACCCATCCCACGCAGACAAGCATTGAACACGACGGAACCCGCCGATGTGCGCCAACGGTTGGCACAGAATTTAGAAGCCAATGCGAAGATTGCCGACAACGCACGACGTCGTCTGGAAGGGAGTGAAGTTACTATTCCGGTACCCCGTGAACGGGCGATGCATATGCGCAGATTGATGCGTAACTTTGTATCCGACCGATGGCTACCCTACGTGGATGAGCAAGTGAAGAAGTGGTTAACGGATTTGGTGATCACGAAACGAACGACACCGACAACTGTTAACCTCCCTCTCCTTGCAGTCCCGACGTTCGATGCGGAAGGGAACGTAAAGAAGGTGCGCGTGTGTTTAGATATGCGTGCCGTTAACGCGCTTATCCCTGGTGACCAGTTTTGATCCCCAAGGTCAACGAACTTATCTCTCGTCTCAAGAGTAAGAAAGTACTACACGACGGTGGACATATCTGCGGCATACCATAGGCTACCGATCCATCCAGGTTCACGATACTTATTTAGTTTTACACAAGAGCGTTATCAGTACTAATTACATCGGCACCGTTCGGACTCCATATGCTCACGCAGCAGTTCCAACGCACCTTGAGCACGATACTTGACGGCTTACCGGTCCACCACTATATCGACAACATAGTTATCGCTAGCGACGACTATGACGAACACATTAGGATGGTGCAGAAGGTGATTCAACGCTTAACATATTGCAGTTTTAAGCTTAACCCCGCCAAGTGCCACTTCGCTATTCCCGAAGTCATGATCCTAGGGAAGAAAGTGTCGGCACAAGGTATCGACATTGACCATGAGAAGCAGGCAAAGCTTATCGATTGACCCACTCCTCTACGGTACAAAGATATAGCCTCGGCTTTGGGTTTAGCAGATTACCTTCACGAGCATCTACCTAACTTCACGAACACGGTCGCACCTTTGCGCGAATTTTGCAAACTCAACCCGAGGGAGTTGATAGGCGATCGTTGGGAGGAGCGACATGCACAGGCGTGGCAGGCGATGTAGGACGCCGTCGTTAATGCAATAGCGTTGCACTTTCCGGTCGACGGTATACCATTAAACTTGGAAACCGACGCTAGCGATCACTGTTTGGGGGGAGCGCTATTCCAATGGGTCGACGGGAAGAAACATTATTTGATGTTCTTTAGCAAGACTCTGAACCATGCGCAACAAAACTATGCTACACCAATAAAGGAGTTACTAGCTTTGGTGTATGGGCTTACACATTTCAGGGAGCACTTGGATGGGCAACGGTTTGCGGTCTTCACGGACCACAAGGCCCTGGTATATATGAATACACAGCTCAAGCTTAATCCAATGCTTCAGAGATGGCACCACAGTATTGCGCCATTCAACTTCAGCATACCACACATACCAGGAGATTCGAATGTGCTTCCGGACATGTTGAGCAGAGTACACGAGGGGACAGCGGAGTAGGACAAACCTGAAATACTGTACACAGATTGTTGGCAGTTATTCACTAGTTACTTTGAACAAGCGCAACAACGCTTCGGTCCGAACGATATAGACGTATTTGCAGACCCAACTAACGCCCAGCTTCCTCGATTGTGGACTAAGAATGATGGGGAAGGGGCGTTTGCCCACGACTGGTCGACAGTTGGTGGATGGATGAACCCGCCTTGGGAGCAGATACATAGAATGTTACGCAAGATACGAACTGATGGTGCGCGGGCAACTGTTTGCCTGCCATGGGTACCAAGGGCACCAAGGTTTGATCTATTCAAACAGCTGTTACAGTCAGAGCCAGTGCTGGTCCTACGAACGCCACACACGTTCCTCAAGTACGCCAAGTACGTCTGAGGTAAGACGCCATGGGGACACACAGTGATTGCACGAGTGGGACCCCCTAACGGGTTTAAACTGGACCCGCTGTTTTCACAACGACTCAGGTATGCAGAACCCAAACACACGGCGTACGTAATGTGTTTAGACCCGGCACGGGAGATCTCGGTGGCAATGGCGGACGTAGAGGGTCAACCGGCGTTTGAGCGCACGACACCAGAAGAACAACAGCGCCGTACGCGACTCACGCAAGCTCACCACGAACAAGGACACCATGGTGCCAATGACACAGTTCAACAACTCCGCCAGAACGGTCAGGTGTGGCCGGGTGCACTCGAATTGGCAACGGAGGTCAAACGACAGTGCGCTACATGTTTAGAACAGGATACGCTTCGTAAAGGCTTCCACCCGATGATTAGCATTGACGCGCGCTACCCGTGGGACCACATTCAGGTGGATTACATCCCAATGCCACTTGAGTCTAGACGGAAGAACAATTACATACTTCACGTCCTGGACATCGCTATGGGCTACTCAATTATTCGAGCGACACCGGACAAGACGAAGGAAACGACAGCGCAGACATTACTGGTAGTTTTTGGCGAGCATGGGTTCCCACGCACGATACAGACGGACATGGGTAATGAATTTACCAGTTATCCAACAATGGGGCGAGGAACAAGAGAGTATTGCTGAGTGTAACGACTACCGGAAGGGACTGGGACTACCGCCTGTAGATATCCACCCCCAGGTACCATGCTTGACCCTTCTGGAGGGGGAGACTCACGAACAATTTGCAGACACTGGAAAAGTTAGAGAACTTGACGAGACCCTTGAAAACCAGCACAGCGACATTGCTATGTTCCCTAAGGCGGCGGCAGTACCACTGCTATGTGCTGCTCAATCGGTTAAACCTGTGCGCACACCGGCTCAAGTACTCCACTAACAAGATACGATCATTGAGAATGTTCTAACCCGCCGTGCCCAGACCACAGATGATCACATGTTGGCTACGGTGGATGACCACGTAGTGCTCTTATCTGATCATCCGTCAGACGACGCCCAATTGTCAACCGACCAGCTGGTAGTCCCCACTAAGATACAGCTGGGTTTGGACCACGTTCCGGCCTCTGAGACTGACCCTTACCAACCCTTACCAACTACTGCTCGGGTAATGGCTTCACACACACCATCAACTTTCCCCGATGAGGACGACGATACTATATATGTTATTCGTGATAATTTCCTCTCTGACCAACAATTGCGTCCACCAGACAGGGACCATATACGCCCAGAACCCCCAACTCCAGATATGACATGTCTACCAGAACCACCCAGGGATACGGGTATAACCATTGGCCAGTTTTCCCACCTCTACCCAATCACCTTTATCTCGAGTAAGCTAAACGACGCCCAGCTCAATTACGACGCTACCTCCAGATAAATGCTCGCAATCCGCCTAGCGGTCCGCAAGATAGCTTTCCTGAGCCACCGTTCCTTCCGAGACACAGTGGTGTTGCCGGACCACAAACCATTAGAGAATATTGTCACTATCCCGCGCCCTATCTGCATTCACGCTCAGTATAACACCAGCGATGGATGCGGAGTATTGATGATATCAATGAGATTAGACTTGACATGTACTATGTTACGGGACCGCTCATAGTGTTCGGCGACTATCTGTCATGTTGCCTTGACACCACCGACAAACTGTTGGAGGTGGCAAATTCTCCTGTTACATTTACCACACAGGAACCTCCCCAGATCCAGAAGGTGACGGTAGCCTTTGCGACGAACCTCGGATACATCCCATAGCCGTACGTCGATGCCGGTTGCCCAGTTCACGGACTGGGTTGTACCCTTCGATACCACGGACATCGACAGTCGGACCCTCAACTTCAGTTGGGTGGACCTATCCCAACAACTGTGGGGTCCTTATGACATTGAGCTCTTTGCAAGTCATGAGGACCATGTGCTGGTTATCTATTGCACAAAGGATGGCATTGGAGCTTATGGAAAAGACGCCTACCTTGTGGATATCCAGTTCGAGCACTGCTACATGAACTATCCGTGGCGAAATATCGACCCGTTCCTCCGTACACGGGTCCTTGGATTGCCACATACGTCCCTGGTGGTTTGTGTGCCGTTTTGGCCCAATGCCCCTTGGTTCGTCATGTTATTCTCCCTAATCCAGTGCACACGATACCTTTCTCCAACGCGGCTGGCGTTCAGTCGGCCTTCTCAATTGGCAATATACGATACTTGCCCATGTTAAAGGTACCAAACCTGTATTTTGTGTGCCTCAGACGTTCTAGGCCCGTGTTGGTCTCTCACGGCCACCGCGGTGCCTACATGCAATCGGTTACCAACCTATGTCTTGTCTGACGGCTACGACACGCCCTGTAACTGAGGTGTCACCACTGCCCAAGGCCACGCAACAAGGTCTTACTGCCGCCACTGACAGGGCGATTAGCCTCCATGACTGTCTGGCACTTCGTGAAGTGTTTGACGATGAACCCCTCACACAAGGCCAGTCTCAAGTGGTGACGGACAAAGAGGGGGGGAGTTGTTCCCTCTGGCGCCGTCCCTTCCTGTATTGGACCACTTGCCCACAGTAGTTACCTCCGCACCGGAACATGAGGCAGCTGCGCTGAAGTTTGTCGAGGACCCTATTCCTCCGAAACTACAACACGCTGCATTCCCAGATAATTGGATGCAAGTCCAAGAAGTTACGGAGGAAGAAATGTCTGCCCGGCGGCCAGATTCGAACCCTGGTACTAACCTTCGCAACCCGTTAGAACGCACACAACCGAACATGTCTGAGTTCAAACGTCAACTTGCAGTTGTGGCCGACTACACTAGCGACCTGACTCGGTTCGAAGACGCGTTCGACTCTACGGCCAGCCTTCTGCCTTTTCAAGAGGTGCCGCTGGGAACCACAGCTAGGGTTCTAGCGGCTGTAGAAGTCGACCAGGACATGCCCTTGCACAAAACAGTGCCTGTTATAACCGACGACCTCTTTATCCTCCGTGAAGAGGATACACAGGATGCTCAAGATCGTACTCGGAGGGAAGCGATTGCACCCCCACCGGACTTCGACTACATGATTTCGGAGGATCCGTCTATCAAAGCCTGGCCACCGTACCCAACGATTGCAAGCGACTGAACAAGCAGTCCTAGAAGCAATCGACGCCTTACATATTTAATGTATGGACCAGCCGGTGGGCTCGGAGATGGTATTACGTGTCCTTTGGATATGGCACGATGGGTTTACCCATCTGTTGCCGCAATGTCTCCGGGCGCTGGCCCAACAGAAGTGTGCGTGGAGCATTCCCACGCACATTCTCGACACGATTGTTGCCTCCTGCGGTGATTACTCGCGGGTTGGCCTACCCAGGCTTTTACAACAACCTGGCCGACCTACAACAATGGGCCAAGAGGTGAATCTCGATTACCTCTCGGTACGAGTTGATGCTGATAACTATGTATCTATTATTCTTGCACAGGACGGTTGCACATTGCGGGCATTTGCACAACCGCTCCACCAGTCTGAAAACTCAGCTACGGCGCTGATTAACTTCTGCAATGCACAGCTCCTGCCTCGAGGCCATGTTCAGACATATGTAGTGGACAAGGCCAGTGTGTTTATCTGCGATGAATTTACGCGGTTCTGGCTCGTACCGTCAAGTACTGGCTTAAACGCTCCTTAGGGGTTGGCCTCCACCACCAATGAAGAGCTATGGTACCTGATTTTGTAGCAAATTATAATGCAGCGGACTCTAGTGTCATTGATAACACCCCTTACACCCTAGAAACAGGTCGCGTTTATCCCCACCACAGAGACAGCCTCGTAGAAGCTGTTCTTGACGAAGCCCTGGGCTGTACGGAGCCGACGGTTTCGCTCACACAGGTACTTTTTCCCCGCGATGAACAAGCTGCGGCTGCAGTCGAGAAGGCTCGAGCTGCCCAGAAACTATCAGCGGATCGATACCGTATCGATGCCCCAATGATCGAGATTGGCCGCGAAGTGCTTTATATGCCGATGGGCACCCCAGGGCACAAATTTGCAAAGGACTGGCTTGGACCAGCTACATTGCTGGCGCATGTGGCACCCGTGATGCACTTTATCTACGATGCAGCCCTCAACAAAAGAGTATCGGGTGCATCTTAAGAACATAGAGGCATATATCCCTCCGATAGGACGCAAGGATTGCAGACCGATGGGCACGATTTCGGCCACTCTGTTTGGCCAGTGGTTATGTTACTCTTCCCAGTTTTAACTCGTACCATCGCTGAGCCTTGTCCTTTGCTATATCTGTACGTTTAAGGAATAGGAGCATTCTCAACTGCTGCAGTTAGAATTGAACTCAGTCCTGGGCTTCGCATGACCTTGTTTAATAAGGACGTAACCAACCAACACACAATTGGCCAGTCACGAAAAGTGTCTAGCTCATGCTGGTGTCGCTGCAGGATCAAGAAACTTGTTCAGGGTCAAACGACTGCATTAAAGCGGAAATTCATTGATGGGAGCGATATCATTCGTCTCCAGCATGACCGTAAACGCATTAAGCGTACAGGTTAGCGTGTCGAGGTCATGGTTGTTTATAAACTCGACCTGCTTACTGTTTGCATCCCAGTTCGACTTAAGTCGACTGATCTGTCCCTTGTACTTCTGGTTATCCCTGTGGTCTTGTCCACGTTGGGCTTGAAGTAGCTGATCGATGCGTTTCTGCTTGGTCGCGATCATATTAGCAAAATATGATACGTCATCGGTACGGTGCTCGTCATTGGCGATTTTCATCTTAATAGTGTAATCGTCGACCGATCTATTAAGTTCGGTCACCTCGTCAGAGTGAAAATCTTCTGCGGGTTGGTGTGAGGCAGTGCGATCAAAGCGATTAAATTCGACATCGTTAACACGTTTACGGGAGTGTTTATTACCTCGTGTAAAGTCCATGGTCGAGGTCTTTCGGTGCTCGGTTCCTGGGATAGTCGTTGGTATTGTGATCTTGGGTGATTCATGTGTCTGGATGACTTACTCAGTCTTAATTGGTTTCCGACGATTGTCATACCAGTTGGGTAAAGGTTGCGGATTGTTTTTACCTGCCTCTATAAGATTCGATATTTTAGGGTTTTTAGATAAATAAACGCGTAGGTAAATTCTAAGTATCGTGTAAATATCAAAGTAAATAAACGAAATGGGACGTTTAATAAAGTTAGGTATGCCTCGTGAAAACAGCAATACTCTGAGGGATTGTGAGGCTGAGACATTGCCTATATATAATCCTCTCAGTACTGTTTTCGCCGAAGGGATTTTATTTAGTGTTTCTTTGTCGCTCTATTAGAAACTGTGGTATGTTTCACTGGGGCGAATCTGAGAGACTCATAAAATCTTATCTTTAGAAAAAGAGAAAAAAAAGAAGAAGAAAAATACTCTTGATGTTCATAGTTATTGTCTTAACCAATAACTTGCCACTATCAAGAATTACCAATTTAGCCTTCATCAGACTGGCACATCTGGTTGGCTGATCGGAGGATCAACTAGGTAACGTTAATAGTCCCTAGAAACCTATATTCGGTTGAGCCATCTCGCTACCGAAGTATTCAGATATAAATAAAGTTGGAAAGTAAATATAGTTCTATTAATAGAACTAGACCAACTCTTATGTTTGGTATTTTACTGAGGCCTTTTAATGGCCTCGTCCAAACATCTGATTTGTAAAATGGAAAAGGTATAGAATTAAGATCAACTAGGTAACGTTAATAGTCCTAGAAACCTATATTCGGTTGAGCCATCTCGCTACCGAAGTATTCAGATATAAATATAATTGGAAAGTAAATATAGTTCTATTAATAGAACTAGACCAACTCTTTATGTTTGGTATTTTACTGAGGCCTTTTAATGGCCTCGTCCAAATATCTGATTTGTAAAATGGAAAAGGTATAGAATTAATAAAAACTGTTACAAACCATTTAAGGAAAACCTAAGTTTACGTACTTTTAAGAGTACGTTTTACGTACTATTAAGAGTACGTTTATTACAAGATTCTAATGTGGAGGCCCGGCTTGTACAGAGCGAACCACAGGACGCTTCTTCGGGACCATAGTGGGCGTTGATACACTTCCGTGCGGGAAGGGAGCCAAACGAGCATGTTATTTACTCAAAGATGTGTATGTACTGCGAGTTCCAGCAGTGGAAGGAAGACAACCAACACGCATCGACATCACCAGTAGAGATGCACACAGAAAGGTGATTTACATTGCCAAGGGCTCATTTAGCCCATATACAGCTCCGAAAGAACCAAGAATCGCACGGATTAGAGAATGGCGGGCGTTGACCCAAGTGTGATGGTCCACGAGCGTGTGCGTGTTGAAATTGACGCACATGCCGAGGTTATACAAGAAGGCATCAATTCTCCGGGGCCAGCTGTACCAAATCATCGTGAGACCGCTAGCAATGCATCACATACAGTAGTTGAGCCTAGTTCTCGTATAGTATCATCTAATATAAACAACAGCTTACATATCACTGCACGGCAAGAGGGACCATCCTACGAGCTTTTCCATCAGCTCGTTACTTGGGTTGAACGTACCTATGAGTGTTGATGCGGTGATCTCTCCCAGAGGCACAAGAACAGGGAGAGCTGTGGGCCCTGACGGTATAACAGTAGACGCATAAATGAGTACACGCTACTCGCATAGGGTTTGTGCCCTTCAAACACAATGCTGCAAGTAACTCGACTAGTACCGCGGAGGCTAATACATGCACACATACACGTGTAGATGATCGTAATCGGGAAGCAACTACAAGTAGTGACATAGATAGTACTGCTGAGGAGGTTGACGCTAACACGAGTGGGGTTACACAGATAGAAGAAGTGAGAGAGGTCGACATTGACACGCGCCCATTAGATGACAACTATAAGACAGGGAACATTCTGCTCGATGATGAGCTGTACGACGTGTAAGATTCGGTCTATCAAGGCGATATTAACGCCTTAGAGTAATTAAACGCTTAGGTTAAGTCTAAGTATCGTGAAATTCAAAGTAAATAAACGAAATGAGTCTTTTGGTAAAGTTAGGTATGCCTCGTGAAAACAGTAATATTCTGAGGGATTGTGAGGCTGAGACATTGCCTATATATAATCTTCTCAGTACTGTTTTCGCCGAAGAGATTTTATTTAGTGTGGTGATTAGGTTCGTCCTTGTTAAAAGGTATTTGTAACTCACTATATCTGCCACAAAAATAGTGAGCGGGTGTTGTACCTGTAACCGGATCAGCACACTCGTTCATCTGTGTTTGTATCCACTTAAGGTGGCACGGCCAATCATCTGCATCATTCGTTAATGCAGCATGTAAGAAGAACTTAAGTCGTCTATGGCGCGTTTCATTCGCGCCTTGTGTTTGCGGTTTATATTATATGATACATCCCTTTTATGGCACATGCCTGATACGAGTACTAACGATTCCATTACGTCATCGCAGAACTCGCTACCGTTATCAGTGCACATTATACCTGGCCACCCATCAGTGCACATTATACCTGGCCACCCATCAGTGCACATTATACCTGGCCACCCGTGGTCAGCAAAGACTTGGCAACATAATTCTGCCACGATCTGCGTATTCTTGTCCATTAAAGGATAGAGCAAGTTATACCGTGACGCCACATCAAAGAAGTGGCATACGTAACGGTCGCCTGTGTGCTCGGACGTAGGCAGGTCGCCATGGAACATCTTCAGTCACACTCTTAAGCGGTGCGAACCCAGAGCGCTTAATCTGGTTGAGATCACAGTCTGTACATGACTGATATACTCTGTCAACTAAAGTTGCCAGCTTAGGGTGCGCGATCCCATTTCGCTTAGCATCTTTAAGTGCGTCTACTACGTTCTGGTGCTTCAGCTTACGGTTTTGCGTCAGCCAAGCAAGAATGTTTTTATCATTCTGCTCCTCCGGAATAAAGGTAGGGTGTTGTTGCGTGGTCTCTAAGTCTGTAGTATTTCCAGACTCATGTCCTTCTTTCGCATGAGTGTCATAAATGCGCTCGTGTGCGTTTGATATACCTGACTTTTTTAATAGTCGCATAGTATGTGTATATGCTTCAGGATTGTCTTTATTATTCCCTTAAAAAATAGGGTTGAAAGACTTCGGGCTTGAACCTTATGTTATTAAACAGAGTCCTAGCTAGAGACTGACGCTTCTTAACTGTAGTGTCATTAGTAGATTGTATTTCTTGTGCACAGACTTCAAGTGCTGCGTTGCCTTTAAACTGCTTTGCTTAACGTTCTATTGCGCAGAGAGTGGAATCTCTGATTTATTGACCTTGTTAAGGAAGGTCTCAGAAGGGGTCCATTTGGTTGTTCCAATGGGACCTATACGACATTTTATAGTATGTCTCCAGGGCGTTTTCTGGACGGCTCGGGTATCCTGATATAGGAAAGTATCTACTTCCCTATCTAAATATATTGGCTCGCATTGTATCATGCTTATTAATTTATTGTGCCATGGATCTTTACTCCGTATTGGGCAACACAACGTGATGGTAGCTTTGTGTATATGAACATAATTTAGTAACTGGGCAATTAACTGCCATGGTGGATTAGCCCACGCATTATGTTGGAGAAGTCTATTTGAAAGGCGTGTCCCAAAAGATGATTTAAAGTCCTGTAATTCGATAAATGTGCATTATGACGTGCAGCAAACATATCTATGGTATGTGGCCCAAATATCTTTTGAGCCAGTTCCAACCACCTGGGGTTACATTTCCAATCAGTGGCTAGTAACTCACGTACGGATTTATTAAAGTCCGGTACGAAGCGTGATAATATATCCGGTATATGGTTATGTATTCCTGGCAGATGTTTTATATCAAAATGAAACTTTGATATTGTATCATGCCAGCGACTCAGTAATTGTGAGTCGGGTTTCATCTCTTTCATAAATTGAAGAGATTTCTGATCACACATCAGCGTAAATGCTGTTCCGTATAAGTAATCTCGAAAGTGTGATAGAGCTGCCACTATGGCTAATAGCTCTTGTTTAACAGTTGGATAATTCAACTGTGAAGCATTCATCGCTCGACTAAAGAATTGTATATATCTCGGTTTGTTATCTATACTGATATAATACTCCTCCTAGAGCTAAGTCGGAGGCGTCCGTTGCTATTTCCAAAGGCACGCCATCGACTGGTCCTTGTACAACAGGGGCTTGTTGGACTGCGTGCTTGAGCGCTTTAAATGCGTCATCACAATCTTTAGTCCACAAGTATCCTAGTTTACCTTTATGACATCTTAAGTGTCCAAAAGATTTAAGGTAATCATCCAAGTGTGGTACTCCATCTGAAATGAAGTTTACGAACCCGCACATGCTGTTAACATATCTTCCTGTAGTTGGTGTTTGCCAATCTAACAGGTGTTCTACCTTACCGGGATCGATCTTAATACCTTCTCAGATATACGATAGCCTAAGAGCTGTATCTCGCTCATTGCGAAGTGGCATTTCTTCTCGTTAATCTTGAAGTTTTGCTCGTTGAGTCTCTTAAGGACTCGTCTGACTAATGCGGTGTGTTCGCCCTTAGTTTTAGAAAAGATGACTATGTCATCTATATAGACTTGCACGTTAGGCATGTCTGCAAACATTTCTTTCATTACTTGTTAGAAGAATGCTGGTAGAGAGTGCAACCCGAAAGGTGCTCCTCTAAACCTGTATTGTTTACCTTTCCACGTAAAACTAAGGTATTTGCGATGTGGTTCATTTATCTGCATTTGATGGTATCCTTGTGTAAGGTCTATAGTTGTAAATACTGTAGCACCTTCCATCATTTGCAGTAGCTCGTTTATACGAGGTAGGTGAAAGCTATGAGTCAGCAATAGTTTATTAATCGGACTCATATCTAAACATACTCTGACTTTCTTAAACGATCCGTCAGAGTTATGTTGGTCTACAACTAGCAATGCCAAGTTAACTGGCATCTGTTGATAGATAATTTCTATCACTCCATCTGCTAACCATTTCTCAACTTGTTCTCTTACCACAGCCTCGTGTATCCTGGATACATAGTTCCTTGAGGGACACTTTAACTGTGTAAAATCCATCTTGGTTAGGTCAAGACTGACAAATCCGTCGTTAAAGCGGAATTTTGCCCAATTTGTGATCATTATCTTCTTATTAACTAGAATCAGATCCATGGTTTTGTTCGCAAATTCAGGTATTAATGCCTTGACTGTGTCTGACGGGGGTTTATATGGATTCAGACAGTTATCGTCTGATTGATCCTTTAATGGATCTACGGTATTCGGTAGACCAGTTACGGTTATACCTAGAGTAAGTAAATCGCTCAATCCGACTATAATGTCGTACTTCTGTGACATCTTAACTATGTAGTGATATTTCTATCATCGGCCAGGGAGAGTTTAACATCTGTGGCCATGGTATCATACTTAGCAGGTTTATCATTAGCTAACATGAGGTGAGTGAGTGCACCTTTCAATGTCTTTCATTAAGGCAAAGCGGTCGGATATACATGTGATTAAGAAAAATTTCGTGGTAGTTATCTACCTTTACGTTCAAGTAGTCTAAGTAGTTAATACCTTTGCTAACTTTAAATGTGTAAGATTCGGTCTATCAAGGCGATATTAACGCCTTAGAGTAATTAAACGCTTAGGTTAAGTCTACTAATCGTGAAATTCGAAGTAAATAAACGAAATGAGTCTTTTGGTAAAGTTAGATATGCCTCGTGAAAACAGCATTAGTCTGAGGGATTGTGAGGCTGAGACATTGCCTATATATAATCCTCTCAGTACTGTTTTCGCCGAAGGGATTTTATTTAGTGTTTCTTTGTCGCTCTATTAGAAACTGTGGTATGTTTCACTGAGGCGAATCCGAGAGACTCATAAAATCTTATCCTTAGAAGAAAAGAAAAAACAAAGAAAAATACTCTTGATGTCCATAGTTGTGTAGAAATACGGCCTCCGGTCAGTCTAAAATATCAAGATCAATTGAGATAATACGTTGGTTTTTATTTGTATTTAAAATTTTTTAATACAAGCTCTTTTTCCAATATTTCCAAAGTGTTCTAAATTCACTTTGATGGCTCCAAT